AAAAAAAAACCCACACAAAAAAACCCAAACCCCAAAAAATCGAATAAACAAACAAAAACAGAAACAAAACAACAACAACAAAAAGCCAAAGGAGTCTGGAGAGATGGCTAAGCAGTTAATAGAACTTGCTGTGCAGTCATGGATACTGGCGTTCAATCCCATGCACCCATGGAATAAGCCAGGCATTTTACAATACCAGGTATCTCTAGCTCCAAGGGATCAGATACCTTCTGATTTTTGTGCTCATATAGCCACAAGTACCACTACCCTACCCTACACACACACACACACACACACACACACACACACACTAAAACATATGATTCTTGTTGGTAAACACCCATATACTTGCTAGTTTCTTGAATTGACCGTAGGAGACTCACCCGGACACTGGCTCTTTACTTACCCATCTGTTTTGCTGGTACAACACAAAGCATGCCTCCCACATCTTGGTTAGATCGTCTCAGCATCTGGAAACCTGTGGCCTAAACCCAACTCATAGATATGTCTAAAGCTAGGGCATTCACTTTGTGTACGTGATTTTGTGACTGAGAACCAGTCTTCTTATTAAGTAACTAACTTGCTATTTATCCAAGTGCCCTCCACAAACACATTTAAGCATGCACACAAATGTTTCCCCCAATCATTGCCAGATGCTCTGTGGTTTAAAAGAACACAAAGATTCCTAAAAGGCACATGGTTGTGGCTATAACCAAGTGCCAAGGAAAGAAAGAATATCATGGAAAATGCAACCTTGACATCTCAGTATACTAATACGCACTTTTAAGTGAAGATTCACTTTACAGTAATAATGCTACAAGTATGGATGAATTGTCCCAAATACATCATCATGAAAAATGGCAAGGATTTAAATTGTAATGATTCTATATCCTAAATTCAGTTAAAAATCAATGACTTCTGATTTGGAAGGGTGGCTTTCCAGTATGTCTTCTCTTTAGTCCCTACATTCTGTTTCTGAGCAGTTTCAATGGTGTCTCATCCTGACATCATAATTGCCTCTCATACATTTATTTTGTTCTAACTTCCAATTTATTAGTCAGTCATGCAGTCACCGGCTGTATTTTTTTTTTACTGACATATAATGACTCCATATTTATGGAGCACAGCATGATAAATCTGCATATGCATCACCTAGTTCAAGGGTCATATCAAGGCCACTGGCATTTACCACTCCTTAAACATTTCTTATTTCCCTCTGTTGGGAAGCTTCACTTTCATTTATCCTAGTTCTTCATAAAATATATAACATTCAGGTACGATAAATAATACATAATGTTCAGGTACAATAAATAATATATAATGCTCATGTACAATAAATAATATATAACGCTCATGTACAATAAATTAAGAATAAAATTAAATGTAAAATTGGAAAGAAAACCCGCATATAACATTGTAACTATAGTCACTCCACTGTGCTTACTATTTATTCTCTTTCTAACCAACGCTAGGTGCATGTTGTTCATGCCCCCATCACTGCCTTCTGCTGCTGCTGTTCCTCTCTATTCTAGCATTCGAAGATCAATGAGGTATGGTGATATTTTATTTGTGCTGAAATGCGATTTTATTTGTATGTTAATAAATAAAGTTGCCTGGGGGTCAGAGCTAAAAGTGAGCCATTTAGCAGAGGTCCGGCGGCGGTGGTGGCACACGTCCTTAATCCGATCACATGGCAGGCAGAGTCTCTGTGTGTTCAAGGACACAGCCAAGCGGTGACCCGAACCTTTAATCCCAGTACCAACCATAGAGACCTGGAGGTCTGTATAGACAGACAGTGACGAGGAAGTCATGTGGTTGGGTTTAGAGCCAATGAGAAGGCAGAACAGAAAGGCAATGAAAAAGACAGTCACGCAGGAAGAAGATCTCTCTTTCTCTGGGGAAGGATGGCAGTGAGTGGTAAGCTAAAGGCTCTTTGCTAGTGCTCTGATCTCTTGGGCTTTTAACTCTGTATTTGGCTCTGTGATTCTTACTTAATAAGACCATTTAGAATTTCGTCTATAATGAGGAAAGCAAATCAATCAATCAAACAAACAGAAACAGGGAAACAAAGAAACAAACTAAATAATCTACAGCTGGTAAGATGGCTCAGGAGAGAAATGGCCACCAAGCCTGGCAATCTGAGTCTGATCCCTGGGACTGACATGGTCAAGAGAACTGACTTCTGCAAGTTGTCCTCTGACCACATGTGTGCCTCCACACACACAATAAATAGATATCGAACACCATCACCATCACCACCACCACCACCACCACCACCAAAACAAAACAAAACAAAACAAAAAAACAACCAAAAAAAAAACCGAAAAGGAAAACCAAGGAGATGATATTGAATACCTATGTATGCTAGATCTCACTTTGTCATTGAGAAACCAGGTATTATATCCTTTGTGGGAAGACTAGGAGGCTTATACATTCCAATTTCTAGGTCAAATACTTTTTTTTCTGAAATGAGAGTGTGATAACTTTTTGACTCAAGAGAACTTCATGTTGTTTGAATAAAAGAAATATTCTTTAACAGCTGGCTTTTACATGTAGAGCCTGCTAGGAATCTAAGAAAGCCAGAAAAATGATAAGAATTTAGGGTGACTTAATTTTAATTTATGGACTATTCCTGTAAAAATGAAAAAAAAAAGACAAAGCAACCAACAACAAAAACAACAACAAAACCCACTGATGGTTCTGGAACAAAGCAAAAAAGAAGTGTTCTTCCGACCCTCGGGAGCTGTGGTCCCTTCCACCAGGTGCAAGCAGTGAGTGTCAAAGTTAGCAGCCATCATTCCAGAGGCTTTGAGTGTGGTCTCTCAGACTGTGTCAGTATGTCAGATGTGTAGAATTCTTCTGATCATTGTTTCTCAGTTGCCACCACATCAAGGGAGGGAATCCGTGTTTGTTCTGTGACATTTATGAATACCAGAACTCTGAAGTCACCTTCATTTGTACAGATCCAGCTGTTGGCAAGGCTTTGCTCTTTGTAGGCTCCTGGAATCTGTGACCTTGTCCCTCCAGCCTCTGAGTGGTACTGTTCACCTTCCTTGGCTAATGGTTTCTTCCTCCATTTTCAGAGTCCTCAGAGTAGCATCTTCAAATTTCTCTCTAGCTCTGTGAAACTTGACAGTAGTAAACTCATGTTTGCTTGTGGTGTGTGTGAGTTCCATACATCTGTGTGAACATGTGGAGGACAGAGGGGGAATGTCGGGCGTGCCTTTCCATCATTCTTCATCTTGTTTCTTTAAGGTAGTATCTCTCTCTGAACCCAGAACTCCCATTTTTTCTGCTTTTGAATTAAAAAACAATTTAAATTTTAAAATTCAAAAAATTTTAAAATGGCAAGCCCCAGCAATCTTCCTGTCCCTGCCCCTGATATCACCAGCTCTATGAGCATTAGTGAAACCATGCCCAGCTTGTTGTATGGATGCTCAGGTCTGGACTCAGGTCTTCATGGTTACACATTAAGTCTCTCAACCACTGACTCATCTTTCCAGGCTCTTGTGTAGTAGACGATTTAACTATCTCCTATGAAGATATGTGATAGCTTTAAGGACTTACCTGGACATTCCAGAACAGTCCTAATTCAATTCCAAGATCCTGCTTTCACACATACACAGCCCCGGCTGTCCTGGGACTCTCTCTGTAGACTAGGGTGGCCTCTAATTTAAAGAGATCCACCTGCACCTGCCTCTCGAGTGCTGGGATTACAGGCATGTGCTACCATGCCTGGCTACATTTTCTTAATAATGATTGATGTGAAAGTGTTCAGCCCATTGTGGGTGGTGCCACTATTGTGGTACAAAAAGTCAGATGAGCAAATCATTAGGAGCAAGGCAGATGGCAGCCTTCCTCTGTGGCTCTGATTCAGTCCCCACCTCCAGGTTCCTGTCTTGAATTCCTCCCCTGACTTCCCTTCATGATGGACTATAAAGATGTAAGATGGAATAAACCATTTCCTCCCCCAGTTACTTTTGGTCAGTGTTTTATCACAGCAAGAGAAACAAATTAGGACATAATGTCTATGAATCATTATCCAATGATGGCTTTCAAATTTGAATGATGATTGTTTTAATCCAAGCTCACACTTCCTGTGATATTTCAGATACATGAAAATCTTGTTACCTATTTACCAATTTGATTAAAATCAATATCTTGTTCCAGCAGCTAATTCTACAATTTGCTGTAGGACAGTGTTCATAGGTTCTTTCTTTGTACTGAGTATTGAACTCAGGGCATTGAGTATGCAAGGCGAGTACTGTGCCACTGAGTTAAACCCTAGGCCTAGCACTCACATTTTCTGTATTTTGGTTCTTATCCCAGGGTCCTCAATGGTGAAATGCAGTCGCTTGTGACTGGGGCTTATTGGACAGAGGTAGGAGAACTATGTTTTCAGCATATTTTTCCTCTGAGTTAATTTATCTTTTTTTTTTTTTTAAAAAAAAAAAAACGTTTGTTATTTGTTTTAAGCCTGAGATGGCCTACAACAGGCTCTGTAAATCATATTTGTCTTGAGTTTGCAATTCCCCTGCCTCTGCCTCCCCAGGGCTGGAATTACAGGTGTGACACACTACACTCAGTTATTAATAGTTTATCTAATTCAAAGAAATTCCTTGATGGAATACTTGGAGTAGGATTTTAAGATCTGTGGAACTAGAATTTTCCTGCCTGGCCCACAGTATGGCCATGGCAGGCTTCTTGCTAACTGTTCTTACAACTTAAGTTAATCCATTTCCATAAATCTAGACCTTGTCACGTGGCTCGTGGCTTACCGGCATCTTCACATGCTGCTTGTCCTGGTGGCGGCTGGCAGTGACTACTTCCGCCTTCTTGTTCTTTTTTTTCTCCTCTCTGTTAGTCCTGCCTATACTTCCTGCCTGGCCACTGGCCAATCAGTGTTTTATTTATTGACCAATCAGAGCAATTTGAAATACAGACCATCCCACAGCAGATCTAAGATAGCTTTCCAGGTTTGGTTAATTTATATTAGTTAGTGGGAGGAGTGCAGCCTTGCCAATACCTTGATTTCAGCCCCATGACACCTATTTATAGAGATCTGACCTCCAGAAATGAGTGATACAGTCAATACATTTACATTGTTTTAAGCCATTGAATGTATGGTAGTGTGTAATAGCATTAGTAGAAAAGTAATGCAATGTGACTTATCAAAGATTTATTTAATATATATAGTTAAAAATTCTGGATCTGGCTTGAACAGCCCAGGTGTACACCTTTATGCCAAGATATAACCAAAGTTCCATCTACACTGTCAAAACCAAGTCCTCATAATTGGTCAAAGAGGGGAGAATAAGTAACTACTGAGTGCTCAGTCAGTCATACAGGACACATTGATATCACCCCCCTCCAGGATTTAGGAAACGTCATGGGAGAGCAGATGGAAAGGATGTAATACCTGAAGGATGAGGCATAGTATTATGGGATGTTGTCTTCCAAGCATGGCATGACTGTTGCATTCTTCAACTCATAGCAGCTATGATCACCTGCACAGGACCTATGTGTTGTGTGAATCCTAAATGGTCTTATAATAAAAACCTGGAGCCAGATAGTGGGGTAAATGTGGAAACAAGATCAGAGGAGACAAGCCACAGCTGCTTCTCACCTCATCAACTCCTCAGCTGATCCTGTCTCCACGAATCCTCAGACTGAATACCCCTGAGTCCTCATCCGAAAGGGGCTTTAGCTCCTGTCTCCTCACGCCTTCTATGCCTTTCCCCCACCCAGCCATTTCACTGTGTATCTCAACCTTCCTAATGCTGGGATTAATGGTGTGTGTGCTTCCCAAATATTGGGATTAAAGGTGTGTGCCACCACTGCTTGGCTCTGTTTCTCTCCTAGACTGGATCAATCTCATGTAGCCCAGTGTGGCCTTGAACTCACAGAGATCCAGACATACCTCTGCTTCCTGAGTGCTCGGACTAAAGGTGTGTGCCACCACTGCCTGACCTCTGTGTTTAACTCGGTGGCTGGCTCTGTCCTCTGATCTTCAGGCAAGCTTTATTTCTTAGATTATAAACAATATATCACCACACCTAGGCAAGACGGGCTCATCAGCATCCTGTCATGGAGGGAGGGGAGACTCGTGAGTTTCTGCCCTTGTCTGAGGATTTACAGGCAAATAATGGTTGATGGGGGACAGACAACATTTTCTCCAGTAGTATAGCCACTAGCAAGGTGGAAGTCCATGTTCCTGTAAATAACCCCCCACTCATGCTCCTCTAAGCAAGCCTAAATGAAACTCATTGAGTCATAGTTTCAAAAAGTCATGAAAACAGAAGGAGAACTACTTGGCAAGAGGTTGGGGAAGAGTAGGAATGGGAGGGGACAGGAGAGGGAGATGGGGTGAATATGACCAAAGTGCATTATATACGTGTGTGAAAATGTCACAATGAAACCCAGCTATGGGTGGTTATTATGTGCTATTAGATTCTAGTTTGGATTAGCCATTCATTCATTCATTCGAGCGTCACTGAGATAGACGCCTATGCATTGAAGCTATATGTTGGCATCATAGCCACTCAGATAATTGCTGGTTGTAGTGTGAGATAAAGTACAGAGGAGAAGAGTATTGGCCCATTAAGTTCTAAGGGCACAAATAAGCCGTGCGAGCATCTAGCCTGATCTCGAGGGCAATTGGTTTTGATTGACAAGGGAGAGAGAAAATAGTGTCTTAGAGTGTATACCATGGGATGTTAGCACCAATTGTGACACTGTGAACGTAGTCACAGGTGCCCTCAGCAGCCAGAAAATAGCAATCGACTGTTGACTCAGTTATGTACCATTTGGGAGGCAAGCCATCGCAGCTCAGGGTGCTGTCCCACAAAATGCAGTACACCCTAGAGCCGGTGAGCCATGGAAGTGCTGTTGCTATAATTTTCTCCTGTTGTCCTAGAGTCTGCTTCAGTCAGGGAGGAAATGTCTGGCTCCCCTCTCTCTTGCACCCCAAAGCCCACACACATGAATTTTGGTCTCCATTTCTGTAACTCTCGGCTCTTTTCTGAAGATTCTCCCAAGACTGTTAGACATGGAGGCAGATGCAAACAGAAGTCAAGTTCATATAGTGGCCACCGGAAGGCCGAGGCTCAAACCATTATGTTGTGTTCCAAAGTCCTTATTTCTTCCATTAAACTCCAGAGGAGACAAAGCAGGATCATCAGTAAAAGGGATAAAGACGTTCCTGGTAACTTGATAAAAACAAACCGAGTAGGAGATCTTTACCCCAATTTCAAACCCCGTGGTAAGGAGCACTGAGAAGCCTTCTAATGTGAAAGCCAAGTGCATCCTGCCTCCTCACGCCCTGCACCCATCCATCCACCCCTGTGCATGTGTTTGATTGGGAGTGCACATCAGGGTAGAGTCCAGAACTAGTTCCCAAGAACTAGAGCCATGTGTCCTTGCTGCGCTTGGCGGTCCGCATGTCCCAGGCACCCACAGAGTGGGAGGGAGGCGAGATGCTTAGGATGTTGCGGGGTAAGACTTCAAGTGAGTCTTCTAGGTACGAGCTCGAATGTTCTCCATTCTTGCATGGTGTTTAAATGGTTCCAAGACCACAAAGAGCATTTTTGGGTCCCAGCCTGTTTCTGTCTGGAATACAGGGCTGCTGCTGGTGTTCCAGAAGAGCTGGAGGGCACATCTGGAGGTTTCCTGGTTACTCAAAGCACCCGGGAATGATGCCATCTCATCTTCCCAAATGCGCTACAGAATAATTTCCCAAGCTTGTACACAAACGTCAACTCCAAACTTTGACCTTGGGTCAGCAGAAAGCCTCCAGCCTTTTGGGATCAGTGGTTCTCAACCTTCCTAATTCTGCAACCCTTTAATGTGAAAATCTGATCTGCAACCCCTGTGAAAGGGCCGTTCGACCCCCAAAGGGGTTGAGATCCACAGGTTAAGGACCACTGATTTGGATAAGCAGGTGATGCAGCATGGAGTTAAAATGAGGACTAGGGAGTGTCCTTACAAAAGTCTCTTTTAGACTGAGAGACATTTGCATTACATGGACTGAAGGACCCTTATCAAATTTGTTCCACACAAAACCCTGCATTGGTTCATCCCTTAGAGGACAGGATAGAGGTAAGGTCCACGTGAGGTGAATGTTCCAAGTGAAGGAGAATGGGCAGCCCCTACCTATCTCTACAGCTGATCCCTGCCCTGGCTTCACCCTCACAAATTGTTCATGCAGGTTTGACCACAGGGGTGGTGGGGTGGGGTGGGGTGGAGTGGGTGAGGGAGTGTTGTGTGACATTTTGTTTGTGTTCTGACAAATTAAGCTTGCTTGGGGTTGGAGGGTGGAGCTAGCCACTAGTTAACCATAGAGGTCTGGAGGTCTGTACAGGGAGGAGACAGGAAGTGGTAAGGCAGGCCTGAGACAGGATCTTGGACCTTTTGGTTGGAGGAACTGGAGAGGCAGGAAGTCACTGGTGGCTGCTCCCCTGCTTCTCTGATCTTTCAGGTTTTTACCATGATATCTGACTCCTGGTTTTTACTGATAAGGTTAATTAGATTTACATTTCAGGGGAGTTGCCACCATTATGTGAAATACACAGGGCAGAGTTTCTTCCAGGACACTCTTGGGAACACTTACCTCAGGGTCATCTGGAGAAGTTTGAGATACAGATACTTAGTCTATGTTTCTCCAACATCTGTGCTTTAGACAACTTTCCTTGGTGATTCTATGTATGTATGTATGTATGTATGTATGTATGTATGTATGTATGTATGTTTGTATGTATGTATGTATGTATGTATGTATTCAATGTATAACAGGCTCCAGAATAACACTTCATTCTAACTATAGGTAGCAAAGATGTTATGGTAGGGAATCCAGATGTTTAAATAGGAATGGAAGAAGGTCACCATCCTCTCGGATATGAGGAACAACTTACTTTTTGCCAGATTTCTTAATTCTTTGCCAGGGGTCCCTTCCCTGTGGCATTGGCTTTTAGCTCCTCGAGTTTCTTCTGCTTCTCTTTTTGTTTCTGCTAGAAGGCCTCATCTTCCTCATCTATCTCCTTGGCCTGCTTCTTGGGATGTTTCAGGGGCCTCTTTTTGTCTCCTTCACGGACCAACATGGTACATATAGACCCTTACCAGACCCTAATCCTAAGCCCTTCTTGATGATTCTTAAACATGAAATTGAGGTCTCTGAGGGCTTCTTCTCCTCTTCCTCTTCCTCCTCCTCCTTCTTGTCTTTCTGGTAACAAGTGTTGAATGCTTATTATGGACCAATGCTATTTTAAGTGCTATGTATTATTTCATTTCACCTTAATATTGTCTATCTATCTGTCTGTCTGTCTTTCTGTCCATCTATGTATTTATCTATTCATCTATCAATCATCTATCTACTATATATCATCATGTATCAATCAATCTATCTATCCACCCACCTATCCATCTATCTCTTTACCTACCTATTATTGCTACTTCCAGAATTTTTGAAGAAGTCACAGCTGAGGCACAAGGAAAATAAATAACTTGTTACAAGTCTCATGGAAATTAGTAGATTCACTATTAATCTACTTGACTCAGTAAGTTCAACCACAGAAATCATGTTCTTTCTCATTATTCTATGCTCTATGAATTCACCATCCCTAATCCTACAGTCAAGACCAAACCTGATTTCTTTTTTTAATTTCTTTTTAAAAATTATTTTTTTATTCTTTGAAATTAAAGCATCATTTTCCTCCTTTTCTTATCCTTCCTCTGTGGCTCATACATGGCCTGCAAAGAGGGTGCTGAGATAAATTCAGATAAACAGAGCTTAAGCTTTAAGCTGTTTACACAGAGAGTGGATACAAATGGTGAGAAAGAAAGTTAGCTCAAGTTATTTATGCTAAGATAAGATACTAAAAAACAAGAGATAGTGTCAGGACATAAACAACTTGTAAATAGGGTGCCCTTTTACAAATGATTGGTTTGTTCCTTCACCCCCCTCCTAGATTTTGGAGGTTTTTTGGTATAAAAGAGGCTTACTGCCTATCAATAAATGAGTTCTTGCTTGACTTGATCCCCACTACGTCTGGTTGTCTCTGGGTAAGAGGGAGGCTGGGAAACGGGTGAGCGGCACGCACTTGCCTTTCCTCGGTTCCAGGCCACCTCTTCACAGGTGATCTAAGCTCCCCGTGGGGCAGGTCCCCACATTCCTCTAGCCCTACCTATGTACCTCTTCATGCTCTCTCTCAAAATCATGGCCTCTTTTTCTTTAATTGTAGATATCTATCTATCTATCTATCTATCTATCTATCTATCTATCTATCTATCTATCTATCTATGTGTATGTATGTATGTGCTCACATGTATGTGTATCCTAAATATATAAACATGGCCTGCTCATTCTGTTTAATGTTACCTGTATGTAAATAATTTCAGAGCTGACCACTTGGTATTGAATAACCAATTGGGGCATTCTTCCTTGGGAAAAAAAAACACCCCAATTTCTTACAGATGTATTTTTCTCTGAGAAGATGGGAATATGTTTTTAGAGGAGGATTTCTTTATCCTTTCAAGACAAACTCTGCCAGTGTATGACTGGTTTGGATGATGTGGCTTCTTTGGCGTAAAATCCCCAATGTCTTACTGTCCTTAGCTTGTGAGGAGACAGTGTGTCCTACTCAGTCCCACCTTGCCTGGAATCCCAACGCTGCCTGCTACTACTGTCCAGTAGGAACACTGGCTTCAGGCACTTCCTCATAGCTTTGCCCTGGCCTTGTGTGGCTGTTTTAGCCTTCCCAACCTGGCAAAGGATGGATACATCCTTATGCAACCTTGTAGAATAACTAGCTGAAATCCTCTTTTCCCAGAGAAAATACGAAAGACATCTTGCTCACATAGTCCCTAGCTGAGGAGCGCTAGCTGGCTTTCCAGGTTCTTGTGTCTTCTACTGAGTGATGGGACTACTAGGTCACCTCTTCTCTTATGGCTTCCCTGACCTGAAAGGCTATGTCCTGATGATTGGTGGATGCTGGTACGCAGTTTCTCATTGTCACGAAGGCTGATACAGGATCCTTTTCACTTTTTGAGCCTGATGGCTGGGCAGCTTTTGCAGTTACTGTTGGTGGACAGTCTTTAATTTTCTTCCCGTAATGGTTCCTGGCATGGACCTTCTGCTCCTTGTCTTTCCCTTGAGGGTGAAGCTTCATCAATCCCCTTCCTTCTGTCAACACCCACCGTGAACACACAGCAGGCAGATCTCCGCCCGTGCTGAGCTCTGTGTCCCAAATGGGATACTTTGCATTCCAAGTTCTTCAGACCCATTTCATCGCGGCTGTGTTTTGCCAGAAAGAGCTGCTTCAGGGACAGTTCCTCTCAAGCCTTTCTCACCCGTTTCTTCCTGAGGCAAGCCCCTCACTTCTTAGCTCACAATGGAGAGAACATTCTGTCGTACTTTACAATCGCTGTCACTCAAAGTGCAACGCTTTCATTTTGTGATGCCATAATAATAAAACTTCCGTAGGACTATTCTGTTTGACAGGAAGCTGAGAACGGTAGAAATGAGAGAGACAGAGAGGATGAGGGAAAAGCAGAAACAGGAGAAGGAGAGTGAGAAAGGGAAGTCCATCTCAAGACTCGGGATCCTTCCATTGTCCTGACCAAAAGAGGAATGGGGTGGACTTTCCTCAGGGCAGGAACAAGGGTACTGCTGCTGTCTGGTGTGGAGGAAGCCTGAGCTGGCATTGGTGCAGGCCATGAAAGTGGACTGGCAGTCGAGTGTGCAGGGCTCGCCTCTGCTGTCCTGCTCACCAGCTGTAGAAATCTAACGAGGTCACACCAGTGCGTGCTGTTGCTATGTCACATGACTAGGAAAAGAAGGAGAGACGCACCCGAGGTAGAAGACAGGACTTCCAAAGAAGGGACTTTCCAGAAGCTGGAAGAAAGCGTTGACTCAGCAGATGACCTAGACACCCGGAAAGGGTGCTTGGGTCAAGGAGGGAGGGAAATGCCCATGTTGACAAAGCAGACATCAGGGGCTCTTGTGAGAAGAATGGACAAGGAAGCTAGGTGGGACTCCTCTTTGTCTCGGGGGGGGGGAGTGGGGGGGGGCGGCCTTTCAGGAATCCCACGGAAGAGGGAAGGACAGTGCTGAGACTCTGAGTAGCTCTTGCAGGGGTGACTAGCAGAGGCCCTGCTGGTTGGACCTGAAACATTAGCAAAGGGTTCAACTGATGTATTAATGACGGCTCCTTTGACTCCCAAGGCATTGTGCCAGCCAAGCCAGGCTTGAGCCAGATTCCTATGACTTTGAGATGGAGTCCTGCTTAAGCTATTTCCTTAGCGCTTGGGGGTCTATTTAAGATCCCTTCTTTTCCTTAATGGCTAGACAGTGGAGCCTGCTCTCAGCTGAAGTTGTAACTGTGAAGAGAATCCTTGGGCAAGTTTATTATTCTTACTTTAAAAAAAAAAAAAGTCTCTCCTTTCCTCCCTCTCTCTTCCCCTCCTTCTGGCTGTACTCTAAGTTTGTGCCACTTTGATTTTTTTTTTTAGGTCTTCCTTTGGTTTTCACAGGTCTTTCCCTTTTATCAGCATATGTTCATTGTACAAAACAGTGACTGTCACTGTCTGTTTGTATGCGTGCACATGGTGATTGTGAGCTTGATCTTTAATTAGTCCTTGACATGTAGACATTTAGTTTTATTTTTTATTTATTATTTATTTATTTAGTTTTTTGAGACAGGGTTTCTCTGTGTAGCTTTGTACCTTTCCTGGAACTCACTCTGTAGACCAGGCTGGCCTTGAACTCACAGAGATCCGCCTGGCTCTGCCTCCCCAGTCCTGGGATTAAAGGCATGCGCCACCACCGCCCAGTGACACTTAGTTTTAATAAATGTGTTTTTCATCAGAGGTAGAGGAGGGGTGGGATGGGGAGGGGGGACTAGAGGGAGGGAATGGGAGGAGGGGGGAGGGGAAGCTGTAGTCAGGATGTAAAAATAAATGAAAAAATTTAATTAATAAAAAATGTTTTTCATTTGGTGATGATCACTTACAAACATAAGTAAAAAAAAAAATAAAAATGAAGAAAACTGGGGTAAAGTGATCAGAACCACTCCTAACTTTTGAATGTATGTATGTCATTTTTTCTATTTTTCATGTTCACATTTAAATGTATTGATATTGCACATGGTTTAAAAACTTTAGGGTAGGGAGGGAGGTGGTTCCATGGATAAAGGGCTCACTGCACAAGCATGTGGACCTGAACTCTTACATGTCGATAACCAGTCAAGATAATGCCTCACAGGCTTGCTGATGGGCTAATCTAAGGGAGGCATTTTTCCCAACTGAAGTTCTCTCTCCCCAGATGATCTTGGCTTGTGTTAAGTTGACAGAAAACTAACCAGCATGAAATGTCACATAGGCCTGGATAAAATAATACTTAATATTCAACTCTCATCTTTAGATTGATCATCTAAAAATTACTTTACCTAAACATTCTTAGAATCAAATGAAAAGGAGAGCAAAGCTAATCAGAAACTTTGGCATACAATTGAGGCAGTTCCAAGAGGAAACTTTATAATAATAAGTGTGTATTAGTTACTTTCCTGTCACTGTGATGTAAAATACCATGACCAAAGCAACCTATAAAAGAAAGTGTTTAAGGGCTGGAGAGATGGCTCAGAGGTTAAGAGCACTGACTGCTCTTCCAGAGGTCCTGAGTTCAATTCCCAGCAACCACATGGTGGCTCACAACCATCTGTAATGAGATCTGGTGCCCTCTTCTGGCCTGCAGTCATATATGCTGTATACAAAATAAATAAATAAATCTTAAAAAAAAAAAAAAAAAGAAAGTGTTTAATTTGGCTTATGGTTCCAGGGGGTTAGAGTCCATGATGGTGAAGAAATGGCAGCGGGAACAGCTTGAATGACAGGTCTTTTGAAACTTCAAGCTTGTACCCAATGACACACCTCCTCCAAGGCCATACCTCCTAATCCTTCCCAAATACTTCCACCAACTGGGCACAAAGTATTCAAACCTATGGACCAAAGGACCATTCTCATTCAGACCAGCACATAGAGCTTACATTAAAAAAAATCAGAGAGACTGCAAATAACCTAAGGACACATCTTAAAGTCTTAGAAAAACAAGAAAAAGTAAAACCCCTATGGGGGACCGTGGGAGTCCAGCTCCAACCTGTTCCCACCTTTTGAAGGGTTCTTGGATGGAGGAGAGAGGAATGAGAAAAGATTAGGTAGAGAGATAGAAAGAGACGATAAGAAAGTCAGAGACACAGGATAGCTTCAGGAGGGCCATGGGTCAGTACTCAACAGCCCCAAGATTTATTCAAAAGGGATTTTTATAATATGCCAAGGGGAGAGGCAAAAGACCTCCCCCTTGCAAGATCACAGCACACCATACAGCCAAGTATGGACCCTTCTAAACACTTGGTAAACACATCCATGGCCAAATCATTCCATTATGCAGCCATGCTGGGTAAAGCAAGCTCAGAGTCTCTGACCCTGAGTAATGTCTCACTATATAGCCTCTGTGGGCTCTCACAAACTCCAGAGCAGCAGACAGCAAGAAATAGTAACGATCAGGGCAGAAATAAATTAGATGGTAATTAAATGGAAATGCACAGTCAGTCAAACAACCGATTATTTGAAAAGATCAATGAGACTTGTAAGCTCTTATCTGACTTACTAAAAGAAAGAAGGAAGATCAAAATTAATAAAATAAAGATGTAAGGGGGACGAGTACTTAGGCTCCAATGAAATTCAGAAGATTATTAGGGAATACTTCGAAAACTTTTATTCCAACCTGGAGAAGTGAATGAATTCCTAGCCATACTCAATCTACTGAGATTAAAATAATGAGGTTATAAACAAAGCAAACAGATCCATAGCAGTAGATTGAAGCCATAGTGAGAAGTCTCCCCATAAAGAAAAGCCTAGGGTGTATGGATTCCCTGTTGGATTCTATAAAAGTTTTGTAGGAGAGCTGACACCAAGACACGGTTCAGTGAATAAAGTGCTTGCTGTGCAAATTCAAAGAAGAGTTCGAATCCCCAAAACCCACAGAAAGGCCTGGCGCACATGGTACTGCCTGTGGTCCTGGCACTTAGGAGGCAGAGACAGAATCTTCAAGGCAAGCTGGGTAGCTGGAATTGGTGATCACTGTGCTCAGGGAGAGACTCTGCCTTAATACATAAAGTGAAAAGTGATGGAGGGAAGGTACCCGATGTCAACTTTGGGCCTCTACACACTCACAGGAACACAATGCACATGGGTGTTTCCCCAGAGGTACATCCATACACATGTGAACACACATGCACACCACACGTCCATAAAGATGTCAGAAAAGTAGTAACAAAAGCCAACCCCCAAAATGAAACCAACAAAAAGAGCCAGCATCAATGATCTTTCAAGTGTCCCATAGTATATAGAAAGGGAAGAGATGTCACCAAACTCATTCTATGAAGCCACAATTACCAAACCAATTAATACATTAAAAATAGACCAATTTCCCCGATGAACATAGACACAAAATCTTAATGAAACTCTTGCAAATCTAGTTAAAGACTATCTTAAGAAGATCATGCATCACAAACAGGTTGGTTTTGCCTCAAGGGGTACGAGGATGGTTACACAAGCAATCCAGTAATTATAATACATTAAATAGTCAAGTGTTGTGTGACATTTCCTGGTGAGTCACGAACAAATGTTTATTCATCCCAGATACAGCAATGATAACATCAAAGAAACAATTCAGCCTGTCTAGCTCAGTGAACCATTGCATTTATCAGGTTTTCTTACAGGACTATGAATGCAAAAACATAGGTCACCAAAAAGCCCACTACTCCTGGTAACTACATCCTGGGGTTTTTTGCACAACTTTCAGATAGCTTAGCTTACCTAAGTCTCTCCCCAGCAATTGTTAGTGCTCATACAACTTTAGGGAGGGGACATATGAATCCCCTGTGGTTCAGGAACTTCCTGAGACTTGCAAGTTCTTACTACTTGAGACTTATGAGCTTCCTTTTTACCTCCAGGAGGGAGTGTTTCAATTTGGAGGATATAGTTACATAACAGATAGGAATCATGTGACCATCTCAATAGATGAAGAAAAGGCCTGTGACAAAATTCAGCATCCCTTCATGATAAAAGCCCTGAAAAAGACTACATATATGTATGTATATATATATATACATATATATAAACATATATATGTATATCATATCACAACATAATAAAGGCTGTATTCAGCAAACCTATAGACAACATTATATTAGCTGGGGGAAAGTTGAAACATTTCAAGACTAAGATTAGGGTGTTCATTCTCTGTATCCTCATTCAGTAGAGTGTTCCAAGTCGTAAGCAGAATAATAAGAAAGAAAAAGAAGCAAAAGGAATACAGAT